TTTTTTCTTTTGTCTTGTTTTGTTAGAGAACCACCCCTAAAGAATTCCTCCTTGGTTCTGGGTGCAAAGAAAAACTTGTTTTGTTAGAGAACCACCCCCAAAGAATTCCTCCTTGGTTCTGGGTGCAAAGAAAAATGCTTGACATTTAAGACCCGTGTTATTTTTCTAAGGCTGCCATAGCAATGGCTTAAACAACAGAATTTTATTGTTACATAGTTCTGAAGGCTAGAAGTAAGATCAGTATGTCGGCAGGAATGATTTCTTCTGGAGGCTCTCTCCTTATCTTGCACAGAGCCATCTTCTCCTTGTGTCTTCACATAGTATTCCTTGTGTGCATGCGTCTATTTTCTACAATCCTCTTCTTATGAGGACACCGGTTGTTTTGGATTAGGGCCCACCCTAATGACCTCATTTCACTTAAATTACCTCCTTAAAGACCTTATGTTTCCAAATGTAGCCACATGCTAAGGTACTGGGTTTTAGGACTTCAATATATGAATGGGAGGGGCACAATTCAGCCGTAACTGTACCTATGTTTTCACCTATGGCTATAGTGGCTGAACACATTTGTGGTTAATACAGGTTTGATTGTTGATGACTTTTCAAGGGCTATTTCACTTTTGATAAATTTAGAATAATTTGATGGGGGAGGGGGATAATGATTTTTTTAAAATTTGTGACTGTCTTATGTGAACTCTCAGAAAACAATTATCATATTATTGTCTTAAAAATAATACCTCTAGAAATTGGGGAAAGTTTCTATTAAACAGAGAAAATGGGTATCATTTGAAGGCTCTTTAGTTCCATGGTAAGGCCTTAATTTCAAATGTTATAATGTGTCATAATTAGAGTGAAAGCTAAGCCCCAAAACATAATCGCTGAAATAAATAGAAATTTATTTTCCTGTTACTTCAGGTTAGCTTTGCTCCATGTGGGCACTCAGGATCACAGATTCCTTCCATCTTGTTGTTTTTCCTTCCCTCAGTGTGTTCTTATCTGTGAGATCCATGCTGGTCATAGGCATGCCTGTGTTCAGTTCGTGGGAAGGTCAGGGAAACAGAGGAGGGCATATCTGATGCCTTCAGCCCCAGACCAGAAAGCAGAATCCATCACATCCTATGTTATTCCACTGGTGAGAATTTAGTCCTAATACCACATCCAACCATCCAGGAGGCTATCGAATGAAGTCTTCTGCTGAGCTGCTGTGTGCCCAATTACAATGAGAGAAGGGGAAGACTGACTTCTGTGGATAGTTAGAAGTTTCTGATGCATA